CCAAATAAAAGACCGCCTATAGATGCCATTGACCGTAGGGATGAAAAGTGAAAGCTGTGGCTGGGGGTGCCCCCAACCACATGGTAACCCTGGGAATGCCAGACTATCCACAGTCATTTCCTGGGATCACCGTAGGTCGTTTAGGTCAACCAGAGACAGGGATCTTACCTGATATGTCTGGTGGTGGGTGCAGAGAGGGTGTTTGGCAAAATGGAGGGCCTGATCCTACGATGGATTTCAGATCAGGGCCTGGGGATGCTCAATGACCCTCGAAGAGGGGAGCAGGCATGCCGGGGAACCTGATCCTGGGTTTTAGCACCAATGAAAGGAAAGCGAGGAACAAGAAAAATGGAGACTAGGCAGAGATCCACACAAAGGTTTATTTGTCAAAGCTGACAAATAAAGGCCATCCCTCTATGGAGTGGAGGAAGGCACTCAAGATATTCGGATGTTCAGTTTTTGTGGGGTAGGGTTTTGGAGTTGTAGCAGTAGTGCTATGGGATAGACTGGGGGGGGTGCTTGCATCAGAGCTACGTGGGTGGGGAATAGCATGAGATTCGCTTTGTTAGATGGTACCTTGGGGCATTCCAGGGTCAAGGGGTCATGTCCTTCTGAAATTGGCTTAGGGTTATGGTACCATGGGATAGATCACTAATGGGGGTGGGGGAAATTGGGGTAAGAGGAAGTACAGGGAAGTGAAATTTATCTCATAAGATGGTGGTTAACATTTAAGATGGCTGCTCAAATGTTAAATCAATACCCTATAACATGTTCATGTGATTGTTTTCTGTTATGTAGAGTCAAGTAGAGAGAGGATATACACAAAAAGATGCATAGTACTGACTTATGGACAAGTCAGTGCGGTATGAATGGTGGAGTTTTATGTGAGTCACTGGCAGCTGATGCAGTTAAGATTATTGGAAGAAGTGGGACCTAGTTGAGTGGTAAGGAAATATAGTCTTATTTGAGGAGATAAATAGATATATCGAGGGGGCTGGGGATGTGGCTCAAGTGGTAGCGTGCTCGTCTGGCATGCGTGTGGCCCAGGTTCGATCCTCAGCACCACATGCAAAAACAAAGATGTTGTGTCTGCTGAAAACTAAAAAATAAATATTTAGATATATCGAGAACTGTTTTATGGGAGAAAGGCAAACACAGCAGAAGGAAATGAGATAAATAAGATTTGGAGAAGTACCTGAAGTGGGAAAAGTGGAGAAGATGAGGTATGCACTAAGTCATATGACAAAATCTAAGGAGGGAAATGAGAAATGCTGAGAAAATGAATCAGTAATTCAAAAGGAACAGAAATACAATGAGAGGAATAATGAGGGAGGAAGAGGGACAGTACTTAGAGGACCTGTATGAGTGGGGAGGCTCATACCCTTAGGCATTTGTGGCCTAACCCCAGGTCATGTGGATTGTGGCCAGAGGAGACTGGCTTTCCTGTTCCTCCATGGCTGCTGAATCTAATTGGGTTGCTGTTTCCTGGTAAGATGTGGTGACTTCTCTCCTGTGGGTTCCTTTAAGCTTTCTTTTCATTTGCTAATATATTTACTTACCTGCATAATTGGGAATGTGACTACCTAGTACATATTTATAAAGTTCCACTCCAACCAACAAAACTTGGATGCTCCCCTGAAGTCCATTTTAATGGATTTTTTTTTTATCTTCTGTTGTGGTGAGAAAGGAATCTTGGTGTGTTACACATAAGTCATCACCAGTTATAATTGTAGATTTATTATATCAGAGTTCACTAGTTTTACCATGCTTTTTATGCTTATACTAGGAATTGATCTCAGGAATGTTCTACCACTGAGCTACATCCCCAGCCCTGTTTAAAGTTAATTTTTAAGTGGGTTCTCACTGAATTAACCAGGGTGGCCCCAAACTGCAAATCCTCCTGCTTCAGCCCCCTCCCCCCAGTAGCTGGGATGACAGGTATATGCCACTATACTCAGTGGAGTCAACCATCAAGCCACAACCCCAGCTCTGTTTTGTATTTTATTTAGAGTCAGGGTCTAACTGAGCTGCTTAGCAACCACTGTTGGTGAGGCTGGTTTTGAACTCTCCATAGTGTTTGCCCCTGAACCTAGCCCCAGCCCTTTTTTATATTTTATTAGAGACAAGGTCTCGCTGAGTTGCTTAGGGCCTTGCTAAAATTGCTGAGGCTGGGTGTGAACTTATGATCCTCCTGTCTCAGCCTCCCGAGTTGCTGGAATTAACAGGTGTGCGCCACTGCACCTGGCTCTAAAGTCTTTTGATATATGTAAGAAGCTTGTCCTTTTGGGATCTGAGTATAATATGGTCTAATTCAAATATTAGTATAAAGTGAAAATGCAGTCTTTTGTAATTGTTTATTCAGTTTGCAAATTTTAAAACCTCTGTATTTAACTATTCTTTTAAAAAAATTTTTTAGTTATACATGGGCACAATATCTTTATTTAGTTTATTTTGATGTAGTGCTGAGGATTGAACCCAGTGCCTCACATGTGTGAGGCAAGCACTCTGCCACTGAGCCACAACCCCAGCCTGGTTTATTTAACTATTCTTGAACAGAAAAGTTGGACAAAATTCCTTGGTATTTAATTATGTCATATTCATTTTAGTACTGCTAGCAATAATGACTGTTTTGTTCTGTTGAGAAAACCAATAAAGTATAAATGAGTTTTAATTCAGTTACATTAGGAGTACCTAAGCCATCTATCATTTTTTTGTTTGTTTTTGATACTGGGGATTGAACCCAGGTGCACTTTACCACTGAGCTATATCCTCAGCCCATTTTTATTTTTTATTTTGAGACAGGTTCTCACTAACTTCCTGAGGCTGGCTTTGAACGTGTTATCCTCCTGCCTCTTGAGTTGCTGGGATTACAGGCATATGACACCTAGCCCAGCACAACCATAATGTTTTAAATTTAAAATGGAAACTGGGGGGTCTGGGGCTGGGGCTCAGTGGTAGCACACGTGCCTGGTATGTGTGAGGCACTGGGTTCAATTCTCAGCACCATGTGTTAAAAAAATAAAGATCTATCAGGAACTTAAAAATATTTTTTAAATAAATAAATAAATAAATTGGAAACTGGGTGTTTGTGGCTCATGCTGTAGCTCAACCCCAGCGACTCAACCCTGGAAACTGAGGCATGAGGATTACAAGTTTGGGGCCAGCCTGGGCAATTTAGGGAGAATAAGTCTAATAAAAAG